ACGCCGACGCCGACGCCGACACCGACGCCGACGCCTACGCCGACGCCGACGCCGACCGACGACGCCGACCGACGACGACGATTTTCACGGTCCCGAGCCCTGGCGAAGAACTCTGGGTCTCTGGAGACGACGACGCCACCGCCGCCGCCGACGATGACGATGACGACGCAGACGACGACGACAACGACGACGACGACGTCGACGTCGACGCCGCCGAGGACGACGACGTTGACGCCGACGCCGACGCCGACGCCGACACCGACGCTGACGCCGACGCCGACGCCGCTGACGCCGCCGACGCCGACGCCGACGCCGACGCCGACGCCGACGCCGGCGACGACGACGACCACGACGACGACCATGACCACGACAACGACGACGATCACGACATCGACCACGACGACGACGAAGCCGACGCCGTCGCCGACGCCGATGCCGACGCCGACGCCACCGCCGACGCGACCACGACCACGCGACCACGACGACGCCGAGGCCGAGGCCGAGGCCGACGAGCACGCCGACCGCCGACGCCGACCGACGACGGTTCCTGACGGTCTTGGGACCAGCGAGGGCTTTTAGGGGCCGAAGAAATATTTCAAGTCACTAATACGTAACCTCCGTGTTGTTTTTGTTCATCTTCTGGATCTCTGGGGGCGACGCCGACGACGACGACGAGGCCGCCACCGCCGCCGCCGACGCCGCCGCCGACGAAGCAAACGCCGACGACGTTGACATCGACGTCGACGCCGACGCCGACGCCGCGGATGCCGCCGACGACGACGACGCCGACGACAACGACGCCGACGACCACGATCACGACCATGACCACGACGACGCCGACGCCGAGACCGACGCCAACGCCGTCGCCGACGCCGACACCGACGACGCCGACTTTGACGGTCCTGGGGCCCAGCCTGGGTGTTTAGATGCAGAACATTGCGAAACACCTTAGCTATGTTTTCTTCCATTCTGGATCTCTGGGGACGACAGCGACGACGACGACAACGACGCTGCCGACGACACTGACGCCGACGCCGACCGACGACGACCGACGACGACCGACGACGACGACTTTGACGGTTCTGGGGTCCCGCGGAAGGCTTTCAGGGCAGAGATAATGACCAATTGCTTGTTTGTTTTTCATATTCTTGGGTCTCTGGGGACAGCGACGCCGCCGCCGACGGCGACGACGACGCAGACGATGACGCCGACGCTGACGCCGACGCCGACGCCGACGCCGACGCCGACGCCGACCGACGACCGCCGACGACGACTTTGACGGTTCTGGGTTCCAGCTGGAGGTTGTAGGGAACAAGTTTTTTATGTCCGTGTAGCTTTTCATTATGTTGGATCTCTTGGGGCGATGACGCCGCCGACGACGACGACGCAGACGATGACGCCGACGCTGACGCTGACGCCAACGTCGACGCCGACGCCGACGCCCGACGACGTCGACTTTGGACGACGATTTTTTGATGGCTCTGGGGTCCGCCGAGGGATTTGCGGGCAGACAACAACGAACAAATGCCGCTTTGTTTTTTCATTGTTCTGGACCTCTGCGGACGACGACGGCGACGCCGACCGACGACGACGGTCTCTGATGGTCCTGGGGCAAGGCGAGGGCTTGTAGCGGCAGACAACCATGAATCACTTCCGTCATGATTTTTCATCATTCTGGATCTCTGGGACGACGACGACGCTGACGCCGACGCCAACGCTGACGCCGTCGACGCCGACGACGACGACGACGCCGACGACGACAACGACCACGACGCCGACGCCCACGTCGACGCCGACGCCGACGCCGAAGCCGATGCCGACGACAACGCCGATGCCGACGCCGACCGACGACGCCGAACGTTGACGACGACTTTGACGGTCCCAGGGATCGGCGAGGGGTTTCAGAGGCAGATAAGAGCGACACTTTTCCGTTTGATTTTCATGATTCTGGATCTCTGGGTGCGACGACGACGACGCCGCTGACGACTGACGACGACGCCGACGACGCCGTCGCCGACGCCAACGCCGACGCCAACGCCGTTTCTTGCCACCAACGTTTGGCAGGACTTTGGGGCTCTCACCGTTTCAGCTTCCCCAACTCCCAAAAATCTTGCAGGGCCAAAGGTGTCTCACCATCCGAGCCTTCCCAAGGCACGAACGTGTGGCAGTGCCATGGGATATACGTACTCCTTACATCCGTACACCGCACGTCCGTAGAACCGTACATGTTTATTAGTCCTTCTGAACCCTGAATTATCTTATCGCCGGGGGTTCATATTCGGGAGCAGACGGTTATTTTGGATCCTTGGGGGCGACAGCGCAGACGACGACGATAACGCCGACGCCTACGACGCCGCCGACGCCGACGCCGGCGCCGACGCCGACGCCGACGACGACGACGACGACGATGACCGCGATGCCGACGACGACGCCGCCGATGCCGACGCCGACGCCGACGCCGACGGCGACGCCGCCGCTGCCGTCGGCGTCGACGCCGATAGCGAAACACCCACTTCCGTTTTGATTTCCTGATTGTTTTGAAGCTCTTGGGACGACGCCGACGACGACGACGCCGTCGTAAACGCCGACGACGACGACGTCGACGACGACGATGCCGACGACGACGCCGACGCCGACGCCGACGCCAACGCTGCCGCCGCTGCCGTCGCTGATGCCGCCGCCGACGCAGACGCCGACGGCGATGCCCACCCGCGACGACGACGACGACGACGACCGACGACGAGTTTGACCGTCCGGGTGCCTGGCGAGGGGCTTTAGTGGCAAACAATAGCGAAACACTTCCGTCATGGTTTCTTCAATATTGTGGATCTTTGGGGACGACGCCGACGACGACTACAAGGCCGACGCCGACGCCGACGTCGACGCTGACGACGCAGACGTCGTGGACGACGCCGACGCCGACGCCGATGCCGACGCCGACGCCGATGCCGATGACGACTGACGACGACCGACGACGACTTTCATGTTCCTGGGGCCCCGCGGGAGGGGTTTTAGGCCCTGAAACCCCTCCCGCGGTGCAAAGGTTTCGCTATTTTCTGCCCCTAGCAAAGAATAGCGAAACCTTTGCACCTTGATTTTTTTCATCATTCTGGATCTCTGGGGGCGACGCCAACGCCGACGCCGACGCCGCCTCCGCCGCTGCCGACGCCGACGCCGAGTCCGACGCCGACGCCGACGCCGACTACGACGACGTTGACGTTGACGGTCCCAGGGCCCAGCGAGGGGTTTGAGGCGCAGGCAATAGCGAAGCATTCCCATCTTGATTTGTTCATTCACCGCATACCCTGGATGAGAAAGCATTCACCTTAACGCCTGAGTTTGTAATATCTCGGGCCAAGACAGAGTGCAGTATTGTGAACGTGTGGCGGGGCCATGTTGTTCTCACCGCTTAGCCTTCCCAAGTCACGAACGTGTGGCAGGGCTATGGGATTCTCTCCTCAGATTTCCCAAGTCACGAGCGTATGGCAGGGACATGGGCTTCTCACCATCTCGGCAATCCCGAGGCACGAACGTGTGGCAAGGCCATAGGGTTCTTTCAAAATTTCAGCGACATCCGTGCACCGTACATCCGCACATCCAAACATGTGAGCTGCCGAGAAAAGTGTTCATTATCCCCTCGGAACCCCGAACTTTATTATGCCCGGGATCCATCACTATCGGGGACACACGGCTATTCTGGATCCTTGGGTGCGACGACGACGCTAACGCCGACGACGTCGACGTCGACGCCGACGCCGACGCCGACGCCGATGCCCAGGCCGATGCCGACGCCGACGCCGATGCCGACGTACGAGGACCGCTGGCGATGTTTTTTTCGGTCCCAGGGCCCCGCCAGGGATTTATGGGCAGACAATCGCGAAACGCCTCCGTCTTGATTGTCTCATTCTTCTAGACCGGTGGGGGCGACGACGACGACGCCGACGACGACGCCGACGCCAACGCCGACGCCGACGCCGCCGCTGACACCGACGCCGACGCCGCCGCCGATGCCGACCGACGACAGATGACTTTGACGGTTCCGGGGCCCGGCGAGGGGATTTAGGGGCATTCATTGGAGGAACACGTCCGTCTTTTTTTCATTATTGTGGACCTCTTGGGGACGACGACGACGACGCCGACGACGACGACGACGCCGACGCCGACGACGCCGATGACGACGACGACTACGACGAATTTGGCGCCGCCGCCGACGCCGACGCCGACGCCGCTGCCAATGCCGACGCCGACGCTGCCGCCGATGCCGACGCCGACGCCGACGCCGATGCCGACCGACGACGACGACCGATGACGACGACTTTGACGGTCGCAGGGCCTGGCGGTGAGCTTCAGGGGCAGACACTAGCAAAACGCCTCCGTTTCGATTTTTCATTGTTGTGGATCTGGGGTCGACGACGACGACGACGCCGACGACGACGACGACGCCGACTACGCCGCCGACGCCGACGACGACGCCGCCGCCGACGACGACGACGCCGACCACGCCGCCGATGCCCACGACGCCGCCGACGACGACGACGCCGACGCCGCCGACGCCGAGTCCGACGCCGACGCCGACGCCGACCGACGACCCCGACCGACGACGTCGACTCTGACGGTCCGGGGCCAGGCGAGGGTTTTCAGGGGCAGACAATAGCGACACACCTCCGTCCCAATTTTTTCGTCATCCTGGATCTCTGGGGACGACGACGACGACGTCGCCGACGACGACGTCGCCGACGACGGCGTCCCCGACGACGACGTCGCCGACGGACGCCGCCGCCCACGACGACGACGACGACGACGACGACGACAGCGACGACGACGACGACGACGACGACGACGACGACGACGACGACGACGACGACAGCGACGACGACGACGACGACGACGACGACGACGACGACGACGGCGACGGCGGCGATGCCGACGCGCAGGGCCGCCACGCCCTCGCGAGCAGCGTCGCCGGCGCTCGGCAGCCGCCCCGCGTCTGCCGCCGCCGCCCCGCCGTCGCCCGGCAGCCGGCCGGGGTCCCGCGGCGCCGCCGCGGGCCAGGCGGGGTCGCGCCCGCCGTCTGGCCAGGCCCACCGCCGAGGGGAGGGGGAGGAGGAGGAGGAGGAGGAGGAGGAGGAGGAGGAGGAGGAGGAGGAGGAGGAGGAGGAGGAGGAGGAGGAGGAGGAGGAGGAGCAGGAGAAGGAGGAGGAGGAGGAGGAGGAGGAGGAGGAGGAGGAGGAGGAGCAGGAGGGAGGGGGAGGGGGGGAGGGGGAGGGGGAGGCGGAGGGGGAGGGGGGGGGGGAGGGGGAGGAGGGGGAGGAGGAGGAGAAGGAGGAGGAGGAGGAGGAAGAGGAGGAAGAGGAGAAGAGGAGGAAGAGGAGGAGGAGGCGGAGGCGGAGGCGGAGGAGGAGGCGGATGCGATGATGATGATGATGATGATGATGATGATGATGATGATGATGATGATGATGATGATGATGATGATGATGATGATGATGATGATGATGATGATGATGATGATGATGATGATGATGATGATGATGATGATGATGATGATGATGATGATGATGATGATGATGATGATGATGATGCTGATGTGATGTGATGCTGATGCTGATGCTGATGCTGATGCTGATGCTGATGCTGATGCTGATGCTGATGCTGATGCGGATGCGGATGCGGATGCGGATGCGGATGCGGATGCGGATGCGGATGCGGATGCGGATGCGGATGCGGATGCGGATGCGGATGCGGATGCGGATGCGGATGCGGATGCGGATGCTGACGCTGATGTTGATGCTGATGCTGCTGATCATGATGATGCTGATGCTGATTATGATCATGGTCATGATGATGATGATGATGATGATGATGATGATGATGATGATGATGAGGAGGAGGAGGAGGAGGAGGAGGAGGAGGATGAGGAGGAGGAATAATCAATACGCGTAATATGACGATTCGTAATAATACTAAGACTAGGTACGCTTAAGCATACGACTAATCATACTGATAATAACGACACTAATATTCGTAATCCTACTGATGAAACTCATAATGCAGATCAGACTAGTGATAATGATAGCTACCGTTTCACTAGTTTTTTTTCATACTGCCAGTATAATGACTGGTAATACGAATGTTACCACTAGTAAGAGTAATAAGAAGAGTACGAATAACACGTGTACTACTAAAGCTAATAATATTTACGAGCATAAGAGTACGGCAATTAATATGAAGAAGGAACCGAACACTAATACGAATCTTAATAATACTAGGAGGAAGAGGAGGAGGCGGAGGATGAGGAGGAGGATCTGATCTGCTAACCTGTGAGGGCCACGTCATGCCTGGGCACGATTCACATTCAGGCCTGAGGGAACTACTTACCACCGCTCTTTGGGGGTAGCCCCCGTGTCGGCCTGGAAATGACCTCCTTGCCTGCTTTAGGGGGATGACGGTCAGTCTTGCAGTCCTGAGCAAGACTCTGAACTTTCACACTGGCGTGAGCACCACAATGCTCACAACGCAAACACCTTACAGGACGTTCAATCTAGATTGTTGGCACATCCTGGATACAAGGTGTGACGAAGGGGATCGGCGGAGAGGTGGGGAGGGCCAAGTCAAGGACCTGGGCAAACGTCCTGGACCTGACCCTTCAAGGTGGACCCTACGCAAGCACACTTGACACTTCAAACCTGCCGACAGGGCTCGTGGCCAGCACTCCGCAACCTCTGCTTCCGTACGACGTACGACGGGAGGGCGACGGGCCGAGGAGGTGGGCGGCCGAGCTTGTCAGCAGTTCGTCGAGGATTCTCCTGCACAACCTCCCTGTGGACCGCCATCCGGCGATCAAGCGTGTGGGAGGTGAGTCGATCAGCGTACTGAGTTAGATCTGCCTCGGCCAGGGGTGGTGGGGAGGCCTGACCAGCAACCCAACCCGCCAAAAAGTCAGCACACCCATTCAGGAAAGAACTCCTCCTCCCCGATGGCGAATTAGGTCCTCTGCAAGGCTGCAAGGCCGTAGAACGGCTTTTAGTCCAAAGGATTTCGATCCGACCAGGGCCACGATCATCGAGCACAGTCCAGTTCCGAGCCCACAGATCGAGCATCGCCAAGCTAGCCACAACCTGAGCTCGTGGCTCCCTCAACCCCTTTGTGAGAGGTAAGTAGTCACAGTAGCACAGTGTATCGCCACCATAATGCAGAACCACCACGAGAAACGCATACAGTTCGGCACGAGGACCAGACTGTTCAGAAGTAGGCAACGTACCACACATAATAGCATTTAGTCGCACGCTGAGCCCATCTGGGATACCCGAGGAGACCATGGACCACCAACATCGTCGTAGACGCTTGTCTTTTGCATATCGCCCCCCAGAGTTATCAAGGCCCCACATACCATAAAGAACACGACGTCGTGTACGGAAGGTTCCCCAAGGAGGCGGAGGCGAGGCGAGGCGATCCGCATAAAGGGGTGGTCGTCCAACGTCAGCTGTGCGACTAGAAATGTTCCCCTGCGTGAGTAGTACGCAGCAAGGGCCCGACAGCCCTTCGACATCGTATCGAAGCCACTGCCAGGGCCTGCGCAGGGTTGGAGCACGCGGCCTTCCTTCCACTCCCTCCCCCTCCCCCCGCCTCCACCGCAGGCTAGCGTGCGGCCCGTTCGCAGGGAGCCCTGTATTCCAGTCAGTAGTTCTCCGACGAAACCACGGGGTGCGGCACCGCTGGCATTGCGTTGCCAACAGCGCGTGCGAGCGGGCCAGCACGAGAAGGAGGGTTTTCTGGGCCCCTCCTTTCACTCGCGAGCCACACTCCTCCCTGTATCCTGCGGAGAAGGGAGCCGAGGACGAGAGACTAAAGAGACGAGAGGGGGGAGCACTGCGCGAGAAGGCCTGCGCTGCCGAGGTGCCCTCGCTTGTGCGTGCGGCTCTCCCTTCGAGGCTGATTCAGTATCCCTCTCCGCGCCAAACGCGCTCAGTGGAACCCCTGTGCTTTCCCATTCTGAGAGAGCGACATCCTCACGGGGTAGCAGGTGTGTACTTATCTCCCACGCTGGCAAGAACGCCCATGCTTTCCCGTTCCGAAAGAGCGAACTCCACTTCTGGCAAAGCGCGAGCTGTGCCGCTGGAAGCCAATTGGTGCCGTAATTCCTTCGCAGGAAAATAATGGCCAGTACTGTTCCACATCATGTCATAGATGCCGCCCACAGTTCTTCCGTTGCGCTTCCGTGTCCGCTCTTCGATGACAAACCTTGCAACAATTGTGTCTTTAACCGCTAAGAGGTCAGAGGGAGCCCCCGTTGGGAAATATTGCTGGTCCCTTTGCCTCGCTTTCCTACTCCTTCTCCACCTCCTCCGCACCTGCACAATCCCTTTGTGAAGCAACAGTTCTCCAGTGGACATCCCCCCTTCCGTGCACAGTGTTTGCAAAACGCCCTTAGTGATTCCTTCGTGGGTCGCTGTAAAGCTGAAGAATCCCAGAAACTTTGCGATCTCAGGGTCATCATTGAGGAGCATCGGTTTTCGAAGTTCGTCATCGGCACCAGTCGGTGGCCTCTGAACCTCGGGGCCTCCATCTTCCCAAACCTCCTTCGCTCTCCGGCGAACAAACGAGTCGATCTCCCGGGACAGCATTTCCAGATAGTTGTTGGGTTGGCCTCCATCTTTCCAGACCTCCTTCTCGTCCGTCTCACCGCGGGAGTCCATGGGTTCTCGAGGCCCATCATCGGCAGAAGCCGATGACCTCCGAACCTCGGGGCCTCCATCTTCCCTCTTTGTCGCCTGCTTTCGTCTGCGCCGCGGCCACGAAGCTCTCTCTGCGTTACTGGCGCTGCAGTGTTTCGACTCGGCGCCTCCCGAGGCGACTCGAGTGCAGCGGCCCCCTTCAGGGGGGAGCAGGTGGCCACGGCTGTCCAGCATTGCCTCCAGTTTTGCTCGGTGGCGAACAATCGAATGCGAAGCGGGGCCAATCGGATTCCACTGGCGGAACTGATCTGCGATCTCCTGTGACAGCGCTTCCAATCTGGAAGATCCGCTAGTAGTTGAGACGGGCTGCACCTGGGCCCGTGTGGGCGCAGGCGCTGAGGGGAGCCGAGGCGGCTCTGCAAACTTCCTTGGCAGCTGTTCCCCCCGGGCCCCACAGGACGCAGGGGGAGGGGGGAGCCGAGCAGCCTCTGCAAGCTCCCCCGGTGCCGTATGTCCTCTCCTTTCGTGTGCCTTGCTGCAGTTCGCCTCGATGTCTGCTCGCTGGACTTGAGTAACCGTCGGTTCACAAACTGCAATCCTGGCAAGCTGGCATTTCCGCGCGCGGGTGCGGCGGGCCCGTTCTCTGCGTCTTTGGCTCGTCGTTTCCAGGTCACATTCCAATCTTCCAAAAATTGGAAAGATGCGGCATGACAAATATCCATCACTGGTTCACGACCCAGCCGTTCTGGGGAAGGTCGCAAAGAGGTACGGTATCGGAAGGGTTGCAGAGATTGTTATGTTTGTTTTTCTCTTTCTCCTCCCTTGGCCCCGGCAGAGCAAGGAGGCGGAGGAGGAGGAATGATAGTAATAATCAGCATAATCAGATATGCGAAAAATAGCATAATAACAATACGGGCAATACTATTAGCACGGATATTAGTATCCATCGTAATAAGAATAATAATACGATTAAGAATAAAATAGTGACCAACCATATACAAAGAATAAGATTTAATACGATTAATGATAATAATACTAATACTATACTAATCGTAAGAGGAACACGACTGATGATACTAATAATAATCACATACATAACAATATTATTAATCATAATAATACGAACACTATTAAGAAGAAGAGTAGTAATAACATGAATGATAACAAGAATATTACTAATGATCATAATGATAGTAATAACCATAATAATACTACTAATAATAATAGTAGTAATCATAATAGTAATATGAATAATATTAATAATAGTAATAATAATAGTGATGATAATAAATAGGGTGAGTGATCAGATGAATAATAACAATAATAAGGATGAGGAGAAGAAGAGGAGGACAATAAGGAGGAGGACAAGGAGGAGGAGGAGGAAGAGGAGGAGGAGGAGGAGGAGGAGGAGGAGGAGGCGGCGGCGGCGGCGGCGGAGGCGGCGGAGGCGGAGGCGGACGCGGAGGAGGCGGAGGAGGAGGAGGAGGAGGAGGATGAGGAGGAGGAGGAGGATGAGGCCTCCCCTCGCGCGCCCGCAGGCGGGTTCGCGCCCGCCGTCCCGCGGGGCATCTCCCATGAGGCTTCCGGGCTCCCCCCCCCCGCACCGGGGCCCTCGGCGGGCGAGAGGCCCGCGCCGCGCGCTCCTCGTGGCGCATCGGCGGCGCGGCGCGCTCTCCAGGGGCCGACCTCCTCGCTCGGCATCGCTCGGGCGTGTGCAGATGGTTCTCGGCGGGGACCACCCTCGCGCGGTGAAACGAAAATCGCGACGAGAGGTTTTTTCTGGATTATTGGGCCACCGGGGGCCCTTACCCAGCCTCGGGGCCGTCAAAAAACGACTCAGGATGGAAAGCCGGTCCTGGGGAGGGGGTCCCGGCCTTTGGGGGTCGACGTTGTGAACAAGTCACGACGTCAGGGGTCTCTGGGTGGATCCTCTCGCGGCTCTCGCGAGAAATAAGGACGCGCGAAGCCGAAAAATGTGCGGGGAATGGGCGTCCGAGCGAAGGCGAGTTCTCCATCCCAGACGTCCGGCGACATGTTTTTGCCCATCCTCGTCCCCCCCGACCGCTTCCCCAGGGGGAGCTCGTGCGCCCCGCACTGACATGCCTGAGCTGGCCCCCTCGGGGCCCCACGACGGCCCCAGGGGGCCGGGCCGGGAGATCGAGGAGGAGCCCACGGGTGAGAGCCAGATCCTCGGAGAGCCGGGACATGTCTGGCCGCCGCCGATGCGCTGGCGGTGCGGCGCGGTGCTCCCCTGAGGTCCTGGCGTGGCAGTTTTTTCACCACGGGCGTCTTCGCTGAATCTCGGGCCCCCGAGACCCTCACAGGTCGATCCAGCTCCAAGAAGGGCGCAGAGGGATGGGGTCCGGGGCTCTGGTCGTGCATGTTTGCGAGGCTCCACTTTTTGCTGCAACGTCGGAGCTCAGGGTCCAGCCTCGTCTGCTCGGGCCCCGATGTGGGCGGCCCCCACAGGCGGGAGAGCGTGCCCGCCGTGCAGCGCTCGCCGTCGGGGAGCTCGCTGGGCGCGGCCCTGTACAGGTGGGCCTCGGGCCAGAAGGGGGGCCCGGGGTCACCGCCACCTCCCCGGGCGCGCGCTCGCCCAGCTTTCGGCGGCGAGCCGGGGCGGGGGGGGGATGAGGGAGGAGGGAGGAGGTAGGAGAGCGGACGAGGAGGAGGAGGAGGAGGAGGAGGAGGAGGAAGAGGAGGAGGAGGAGGATGAGGAGGAAGCGAGAAGGAGGAGGCCTTCCCAGAAGGCTCGGAAGCCCCCCCCCCCAGTCTTCCGAGAAGTCTTTTCCCTTCCTTCCCCGAAGACGCAGGAAACTTCTCGGAGGGCGCGAGGGCTTCTGAGAAGTCCCGCCGCCTTCGGAGAAGGCCTTCGCCTTCTCACTTCCCTCCCCCCTCGCTCGCCGCCAAAGCTTCGCCACGGGCGCGTTCGCCCAGCGCGTTCGGATTTTTTGTTATTTCACCACGTGCGGGCACGCCCTGCGCGCGTTCGTCGGCCGTGTGTCCACGCGCTGTTTTCCACCACGGGCGCGCTCGCCGAGCTTCTTGTGTGTGCGGGGGGGACGCGGAGCCCTCACGGAGATCGCTCCGGGCTCGGAGAGAAGTGGCGCAGAAGCACCGTGGGGGGGGTCCCGGTCTGCTCGGGGGCGGCAAAGAGGGGGGTGAGGGCGAGGGGTGTGTGGATATCATGGCGGGGTGTGTGGCTATCTCTCCAGGTTTCATGGCGCCTCTTCTTATTTCAATACGTCCCTGGCCCCCCCTGGGCCGCGCACATGCCGCCGGCCATGATTTGCGCCCCCCCACCTCTTGGATGCCCCCCTCTTGGCCGCCCCCGATCTGCGGGGGTGATGTGTTTTGTTCTATGCCGTGCTGTCCTTTTGCAACGTCGGATCTGAGGGTCCTTCCCGTCTTGGGGCACGGAGCGGTTTGGGTCCGCTTTCTGCCTCCGGGGGCCGTCACCGGCCCCAAGGGCCCGCAGAAATCGACTCGGGACGAGTGCCGTTTTGGACTCGACGACCTTCTGTCCGATGGTGCACAGCCTTTGGCAACGTCCTCCCGTCGTGGAGGCAGTGCACGTAGTACGGCAGGCGTGTCGGCCGGCGGCGATCCCGCCGCCGGCGTTCAGCGTGGAGCGCCGCCGGCGACCAGGAATCGATCGATGTTGAACGATCGAACGTTTCGGAAGCGGCCGACCGCTCCAGGCCGAGCGATCCAGCGCGGGGTCAGAAACCAACGCCGGGGTCGGCACGGCACGGTTTTTGCCTGCTTTCTGCGTCCGGGGGCCGTCACCAGGCCCCGGGGCCGGCAAGAGTCGACTCGGGACGAGTGCCGCCGGGGCCTGGGACGGGGCCCAGACCTCTGGAGGTCCACCGTTGCGAAGAAGCCCACGACGTCGGAGTTTTGTGTCCTTCGCCGTGCGAGCACACGCAGTACGCTTTGCAGCCCCGTGAGAGCCGAGGGCCACAAAATGGCATCAACGGAAGCTCTCGGATGTCCACGCGGCACTGGGCCCCCTGCCCTGGCGCGCGAATTCTCCAGGGGGAGGCGCTGCCTGGGGGTCCAGCACCGGCCCGATGATCCGTGCGGAGCTCCGAGGGCAGCATACAGCCGTGATGAGTGGTGGCTGTTGCTTCCCAGGCCCTACGATGGGGTTCTTGGTAGTCGTGTGGTGCCGCTTCCTGCCTTCTCCTTTCTACACCTCCGACCCACCCATGATTGGACGATCACCCATGTTCAGATCCATTTACACTCAGACACATCGCCCTCAGACTCACTCACACCCAGACTGACTCATTCTCAGACTCACTCACGCGCAGACTACTCATACTCATATACAGTCACACTCAGACACTCATTCTACCTCATCACACCCATACCCACTCACATTCATATGCACTTGCATTCAGAGTCACCGACACTCGGACTCACTGGCTCTCCGGCTCACCGACACTCAGACTCACTCACAGCAGCGCACTCAGACTCACTGTCGTATTTAGACCCACTCACACCACGCACACGCATAGACACTCAGATTGACCTTAGTCATGCCCAGGCTAACTCATGCCCAGACCGCAGACTCACTGACACTCAGACCCGCTCGCACAGAAAGACTCACTCACACTCAGACTCATTCGCAGCCTCAAGCTCGGATCATGAGTTACTCATACTCGGACCGCGTTCGCACGTATTCAGTCACATTCGGACTCACTCACGCTCAGGCTAGCTAACACCCGGCGCGGCAGGCGTGGCAGCTGGGCACCCCAAGGGGGAATCCGTCAGAGGGTATGTTAGTTCGCCGTTCGCAGCCTTATTGTGGAGATGTCTCGGGCGATTTGTGGCTTCGTCTTCTCAGATTCATCCCTTTTGAGAGCCCAGTGGTCATTGCCAAATATAGCAGGCTTGGCATTTGGGTACCCCAAGGAGGAGCCGCCATGGGGTGTTTCGTTTCCCCGTTCGTGGTTAGGCTGTGGAGATGGCTCAGGTGTCAGGCTCAGCTCTCTTGAGACTCAGAGGAGGAGGAGGAGGAGGAGGAGGAGGAGGAGGAGGAGGAGGAGGAGGAGGAGGAGGAGGAGGAGGAGGATGGAGGAGGAGGAGGAGGAGGAGGAGAGGAGGGAGGAGGAGGAGGAGGAGAGGAGGAGGAGGAGGAGGAGGGGGAGGAGGAGGATGGCTCAGGTGTCGGGCTCAGCTCTCTTGAGAGCCCAGTGATCACCGCGTTGGCAGGCGTGGCCTTTGGGCACGCCAGGTGGGGGCCACCAGGGAGTACTCCAGATTTCGTAATAAAGGGAGGGGGGTCTCATTTCGGGGGGGGTCTCTTCCAGGCTATCTTGGAGGGCCTGGGGGTTCTAGGGACGATGTTTTGGAGGGTTCTCCCACGGGGGAGGTCTGAAATGGCTTGTCTTGCAGGGTCCAGACCCCCTCCCTTTTATTACGAAATCTGGAGTACGTTTTGTCCCCATTCGCGGTTTGATTGATCTCTGGTGTCTTGCGTGTTAGGTTGCTCATATTCATCTCTTGTGAGAGCTCAGTGACCACCGCGATACAGCAGGCGTGGCATCCTGGGCACCCCGAGGGGGAGCCACCAGGGGTGTTGCACTTGCCAGTTCGCGCCCAGCTCCTGGGGCCCGTCAGGGGAAACGCTGGTCTAGGCACCCCCGGTCCCTCTCCTGTCAGAGTCCCAAAGAGATCACCCCGATGCAGCAGGCTTAGGCATCTGGGCACCCCGAGTGGGGTGGCGCCAGGGCGCGCTCGGTCGCCACTCGGGCACTCGCAGACGGCAGTGCCAGCACCAGAGATTGTACACACGGGGACCTCCGTGTCGAATGTTTCTGCTGCTCTTGCGGCTGCGACCCCCTGACGGCTCAGAATCACGGACCTCAGAGTGTCGCCACTTCTGCCCGCCACCGCGCAGGAGGGGCGACCTGGTCGAGTACCACTCCTCATCCCACAAGGAGTGGCTGCCGGCGGTGGTCAACAGCGTGAACGACGCTGGGGACATCGTCATCGACCTGAAGCCGAACACGTGGATACCAAGGCTGGAGTGCTAATGTCGGCGGCGAGCGAGGAGGGGGAATGAGAAGGAGGAGGCCTCCTCGGAAGGCGGCGGGACTTCTCAGAAGCTCTCGCGCTTTTGAGCAGTTCTCTGTGCCCTCGGGGAAGGCTCGGAACACCTCTCAGAAGACCGGGGACTTCGGAGCCTTCTGAGAAGGCCCGCCCTCCGTCTCGCTCCCCCCCCGGGCTCGCCGCCGACAGCGGGCAGGGGCAACAGCAGGGGGGGACTGGCTCAGGGGGGGGGGGGAGCGAAGCATCGACCCCCAATCGCCCACTCAGCGCCGACTGGGCCCCGGGTGCCCCGCCAAGCCTGGGCAAGCGCGGTCCCACGGTCGGTGGCCCATCCCCGACCTGACGGC